ATTCAGGCTTCAAGGAGAGATGGTTTAAACTGAAGTCAAATCTACTCTTCTACTTCCGCATCAGTGAAATTGGAAAAATAGATGAACGACAGGTATGGGCATTCATAGTGGGATTAATATTCCCTTAAAATTTGATAAAATTATATATGCATATTGTTACACTTCATTGTATTTATGGAGTTTAAGTTCAGTTTATAAGTAAATTTTAGGTGTTTAATTTTGGTACACATGAATTGTCTGTTTAGTGGGCAGGTCAGTCTAAATCCCTGGCATCTGCCCAGTCGATCCATCTGTGTAGGAAGCTAATAGTGCACTCAGCTAATTGAGAAATTCTGCACCTTCAGTGCATCTGGAAAATTCATTATCATGTTCACAAGAGCTCGATAGTGTGTTTTTAGCCCCCACCCAACCCCCAAGCTGGAGGATAACACCCTCTGAACTGTCCTTGACTGCATATTTAATATATACACACCTACCCTCCTTATCTGGAGGCCTTCTCCTCCCTCCACAACCTGAGGACACGCCATACAATGGTGACATGGTACACACTTGAATTGTTTAATTTCAGACATATGAGATGGAAGTATCAAGCCCTTTGAGTATGTATAGTTCATGAGTTATCATTCCGCTCTATATATATAAAAGTGTAAGGTTATCACAAATTAACAACTAATGAAACTCGTTATAAAAATGAAGAATTTAGTTACAGAAACTTTGTACTCTTTCAGCCAGCTGGAGTATTTATACTGGAAAATTCCAATATCCAGTATGAAGTTTGTACAGGTGTCCCCTTTGCATTCTCAATGACATTTCGCGATGAGCCAGATCGAAAGCACGTGTTTTCTGGGCGATCAGAGGATTACGTCAATCAGTGGGTCACTGCTATGAAACAGGCCACGTATGTGAATCCAACACGAAGAATACTTGACATAAAGTACGCAGGCCTCTGTGTTAAATTACTGTAATATGTCCCTCTTCATTTTCAGGTATGGACACTGGAGATCTCAACTAGTTATTTTACAAACCAAAATCAATGCCAAAACTGGGAAGGTAAGAGTTGGTTTTATTTTATGTCTTTCTCACATTGAGACCCAAATACTTGCAACAGAAACGAGGAAAATTTGGATGTGTGGGTGTAGTTTTTACGGTGGTTCAGAAGAAGCCTACTTGGGAGTGTAAGTTGTTTAAATATAAATCAAGTGTTCCCATGATAGGGTAAAGCGTAGTCTAAGGAACTGCCTAAGTAAAGAAGAAATTCATGATTTCTGGATACCACTTGAAAAGGAGCTATACTTATTTTGCAGTGTTGTTTATCAGACATGGTGCAATATCTCGGAATACTGCAATCTTCAAAATTTATGCTTGTTACTGTTGTTTCAGGCTACACGTGGTGATCAAATTAGCATAATGGCAAATTAGTTTACATGAAGCATTTCCTCCCGCAGGATCCACTGTTGATGTATCCACACAACCGAGGAACTGTGCGAGACTTCCAGTCACACGGAAACAAGTCGATTGGGGCTCGTTCATCAAGTTTCCAGTGCCACTTGGAGCAGAAAGTAGAAATTGTCGAAGAAGAGACTGAAACGTTTCAGAGTAATCTCAAGAGAATAGAAGAAAATTTATGTCAAGGTCATTTGCAGCAAGAGGGAAAAAATGTTCCTCTGCCTCCGGAAAGGAACCTCATAGAACTGTGAGACTATCATCGATATTTTCCTCGTCAATTATGAGTCTCAAGTTCCGATTGGAAGCACAGATCAGTTGGATTCCTTCTGTATTAAAAATAAACAAGATGATAATGACTGTAAATCTGAATCGTATTAATCATGTAATTATACATTGAACAGAATTTTTCACAACCAAGGAAACCTAATGCATCGGTGACCCAAATAAATATAGGCCATAATTCATAACAAACTCAATGGAACTGTATTTTCCTCAAGAAGCTGATGGCTATTCATGTAATCAGGAAATTCCGCTATTAAATAACTGCTGTTATAATTGCTGTATAAACACATTTTTTAGTGCCACATACAAGCCTGTCTTTGTCACTTGACATTTACTTCCTGAGAAGTGGTCTAGCGGTCAGAACACTAGCCTTGTAATCCTGGGGTCCCTGGTTCAATTCCCGGTGGTGCTCAAATTTATAACTTGTGTTGGTCAAGGCCGTGGTCTAGGCATCACGGAGTTTTCCTCCGGGGGCTTCCCCGGTTTCTCCGTGGCATCCCAACAATTACTCCATTCACACACAGAAGAAGGCAATGGCAAACCACTTCTGGATCATCTGCCAAGAACGTATATGAACAGGTCCCAGTCCGAGAAAAGGATGGAAGGATCCTGTTCATATGGACCTGTCGTCAGACAGAACACTACAAAAAAAAAAGTATGTATTAGAAAAAACACACAGTTGACGCAAATGAAGGGAATGATCCAACTTAAATGAACCACAATACTGCATAATAAGTAATAAATGATTCCAACTTGCCTCACCATACACAATGAAGAATTTTAACGGAAGAAGACATCTGGAGTTACTTCAATTGATTTCAAAATGAAATAGTCGCATTTGGTTTCTTGCATCCCCATTTAAAAATGAAGCTGGTTACAACTAGGATTTGGAACTTCTATTCATGTATGGGCCCTGTAAACCCTTATTTGTATTAAGTATGGACTCTGTTTCTGGACGTCAAACAGGCAGAATAAGAATTTGATAATACTCTCATGCTTCTTGTAAGCATGAGAGTATTTCGAACAGCTGAGAAAAACGAAAACAGATATTACACTTTTTCAGGAAACCCTTTACATTCAATATCGTTTGTTCATACACATAAATCACGATTATAAAAAAAATTGGAGAAGTTTAATCTTCATACACTCCGAAAACAGATGTACGAAGATAATTTGGCTGATGCGAAGTAACATGTTTTCGAGAAACTGATAGTCACTCAGCTGGTCGTGAAATTTCCCGACCTCTCTGGATGACTCACTGCAGTAAATCACATCTCGAGAATCAATCAATCAATCAATCCAAACGGTTATATAATCATCGCCATGCGTGCTACACGAAGCACCCATCTCACTTCAAACATTTCATATCCCACTTAAACAAACTGCAGGTTTCTTCAACTCCTTGTTGAAACCGGTGTATTTTAGGCCTGAAAGCTAAATGTTTCCGTATATTGCAGAGTAGCAAGTTTGCTTCAGAATAAACTTTCTACGGTACAACAGAAACAACGCAGGATCCTGAAAACTTGTAGGCTATAGTAAAACTTCTACAATATATTTCTTAAAGTACGATATTTAATGGGGGCTTAATTTTGACGTAAATACGTCTATATTGAAGGGTCATTCGGCAAATGAGCGTAACGAAGATGTGTAAGATCCATATCAACAATGTGTAAATATGGACCGACAACAATGGTTATGTTACCTAAGAAACCAATTGTTACGTCATCTGTTTACTAGGCATTGTTGTGGTACATTATTGCAGTCAACAACAATGGTCAGCTTTTACATGAATTCCTACGTGCATTGTTGTAGTACCTAAGAAACCAATTGTTACGTCATCTGTTTACTCGGCATTGTTGTTGTATTTTATTATCGCCGTCAACAATCCGCTTTCGTCATTGCTGAAAGAGCTGAGCTGTGAGTTGTTTGTGGAACAAGTGCATCCTAGAGCAGATAATTTCGTGCTGGTAAAATCGTTTTAGAAAATCACAGGTACTTATCTTATATAACAATTATTACATTACATTACATTTAATTATATTTAGAGACGTATTTACGTCAGATTCTTCGGAACCGTGGTTCCACTGTCAACCTTTGAAATTTCCTTCAGTGCGTTCTCTTAGAGGTACGTTTATTCGAGCATAATTGTGTACTAGACATGACGTCATAAGTGTTACAATTTCCAACAATTTCAAGCGTCTATGCAGAAATCGGAGATACACCAAGCAACAGAATAGAATTTATTTACATTACGTTGCTACTGAGAAGCTGATAGTCACTCAGCAGGTCATGAAACTTCCTACTCCTTGTGAATGACAAAGATTCACTACAGTCAATCATATTCTAAGCCAGAAAGATCCCTCCCTTGCACTTAACAAAAATCAACGCCACGCGTGCTAATCGGAGCACCCATCTCACCTCAGACATTTCATATCAAACTGTAAGATGTTCGTCATTTAGTTTTGTTTCAACTCCTTGTTGATCCTATTGTCACAAAATATTCCATCTCCAACTACGTTTTTACACTTGCCACAATTATTATCTATTAAAATGTTACACTCAATATCTGCCGTTATTCCTAACCTTCCAGGAGAAAATACCTTGCTGGATAAAAGAGATTATCGGTCAAGAAAGCATGGCGGACGTAATCTACAGCTACTCCACAAATGCCGTACTCTGGATCCTGCTCATGTATTTTATCATCATCCTCGTTATATTGGTACGTACAAGGTCACTCTGTCTGACTGAATGTGGCCTTATATTATTATTCGTACTGTTAATACCACATTTTTCTAACAGCATGGAGAGTTATTATTATTATTATTATTTAGTGTTCTGTCTGACGACAGGTCCATATGAACAGGATCCTTCCATCCTTTTCTCTTCTCGGACTGGGACCTGTTCATATACGTTCTTGGCAGATGATCCAGAAGTGGTTTACCATTGCCTTCTTCTGTGTGTGAATGGAGTAATTGTTGGGATGCCACGGAGGAAAACTCCGTGTTGCCTAGACCACGGCCTTGTCCAACACAAGTTATAAATTCGGGCACCGCCGGGAATCGAACCCGGGACCCCCAGGATTACAAGGCCAGCGTTCTAACCGATATAATGTATTCTCTAACTTTTTCGTGTAATAGGGACTAAATACCAAATTTTAAGGTAGAGTTGGTAACATTTCAGAAGAGATACACTCAGAAATGTTCATTCAGTAACTTCTCTGCTTTGCAATTATTGAAAAAGATGTTTCCTTCTTTCTACCCCCCTTGAACCTAGATCTGAACTCTTCTCTGAAAGTGCCAACAGTAGGTGCATTGAAATAAAAAAGATTTAGCTCCCTCACTTAAATTTGAAGGGTGCAAATTGGATTCGCTCCGAGATAAGCCCATTGTAAAGAAACACTGAATTGGATTTGGATCTCTCCTCCAATATCATAATTTTGTGACACGTAAGTGTAAATGTTATCATTCTGGTCCTAGGCTTACAACGATGATCCCAAGGTGGTCGATGACTCCAAGGTGGTTAATGACCCTAGGGTAGACGATGACCTCGAGGTGGTTGATGACCCTAGGGTAGACGATGACCCCGAGGTGAACTGGTCCTAGGATCACAAAAATGAGCTCGAGGTAGACGATGACCCTGAGGTGGACGATGACCCCGAGGTGGATGATGAGCTCGAGGTGAACGATGAGCTCAAGGGAGGCAAAGTGAAATGTCTCATCAAATCGCTGAAGGCCGGGATTAAAGAGCGACGTGCAATGAACAAAGACTATATAAGTCGGAAGCCTGTACTTACTAGAAGGTTTCCACTATCACATATGTGTCTTAAGGCCATGAACACACCATATGATGATCACATGTGGCTTTGTTTTCAACATAATTAATGGAACAGGGGATTTCCAAGTATGATTTTATGAATTCTGTCACTACATGTCCATTTAACCTGGAAATAGGGTCCTGTAGTCTGGTAAAAGTTACTAATTCCTTGCTGTCTCTACCTGCAAGGTGACTGATGAAGGACGCAGCAAGTTCCTTTGATCAGTTGGTCAATTCTGAATAGTTTGTTTCACAAGTCAAACTGAACGACCTAGGTTTGTTGTGTCAGTCTTAGGTTAGACTGAACACTATTGTCGTAGGTTTCAATGCCTTCCAAGGCATGCACGTCTACGTGCATGTTACTTCAGCAGCAAACAGATTCCTTATTCATCGCCATAATTCTCGCAATATCTTCTTCTCTCCAGGCGCTGCAGCCCGGAGTGGGCTTTGGCCTCCCTAATTCTCCCAATGTGTTGACAGGTTATTCATTCATCCAGACAAGTTAGTCTTAAGACTTATGGAAAGAGGTTACAAAGTATAAAATTATTTTCAGTAGTGCACTTAAACAGCTTTGAAGTCTGACATTTGAGAACTTGATTGGAAAGTGCCTGCACATTTCCAAATTTGTTAAAAGCAAACAATAACTAACTGTACATAGGACCAATCACATCCATTTCTGCGAGTGGCAGTGACTGTGTGGGGAATATCAATGTATTCCCATAACCATGTGGGGGAATCCTCTGTTATTACATGATCACCTAAGCAACACCTCCCCTATGAAAAAGATCCCTCCCGCTTGCACTGAAAGCTGCCATCTGAGATGCCATATCCAAATCTGACATTCCTTGGAGCATCAGAATTTTTGTTCTGTGCATATCTTTCCTAATATCTTGGTACCTTGAAGCAGAAAATAACTCGTCATGTTCTATATATCATGCAAAATACCTCCTTCCCTAAGAGTGCGGATTATATTTAACATTTTTTACTATTCCAGGACAGGACGTTTTCTATACAGCAGCAGGTAATTAACGGACAACGGGTAATCGCAAGATATCTCCTAAGATTGATGGAAAATGCTAGCCGGAGGAACATGAATGACAGATCTACTTCCATGTCTGAAGTGTATGACTCCGTACATGGAGGAAATGATGAAGAGGAAACTGGATATTATGTGTGAGATCAGGACACAGATGAAACAGAGTCCGAAGTTGCTGAAGAAAATGAG